GGCCCGGGCAGGGCTGGCAGGCTGCCCACGGCGGTGACGTGGTGTAGTGTTGTGTAACCTCCTCACCGCACTGCCTTCTCCTCCTCATCCTCTCTGGCAGCTGCTCAGGAGTATCCCAGGCACTGTTTTCCTTGGCAGCACCAAAGCCGTGGGTCTGTGATTCAGTCACGGGATTCAATTGTGCTAAAAACCCAGATTACTAGAAATCTGATTTGAAATTTCAGCATTCAGAAACAAAAGTTGTCTTTTAAATTTTTTTTTAGTGCAGTTTGAATTCAGGTTTGATCTGTTTCAACAGAGCTAACATCTATCAGTGTGGGGATGGCCACCAATCATGTGCCAGGCTCCGTGTGTTTCGCTCACAGGCTCAGTGTTTCCCTTGAAAAGAGAACAGGGCAATTGTACAAAGGAGATTTAAAAGTAAAAGCTCTTGCTCTCAGGATAGCAAAGTAGTTTTTCACTAAAGGGAAAAAAAAAGCTCAGGAAACTTAAACCCAAATGAGCCTGGCAGGGGAGGAGCACAGCACCAGCCAAAGCTGCACAGCGGCTGTTCTGCTCCTGCAGGCGCTGTGACAGTACACTGATCCTACAGAATCCTTCCTGCCCCCCTTCCCAGCTGCAACTTCTTAGAAACAGACTGTTTGTTTCCTTGGCTGGATTTAAATATTTGCATCTGCATCAAATCAGATAAGTCAGAAAGTTAAATTCTGAACTTCCCATAGAGCCGTCATTTTAATTTATCCTTGGACCTGGGCTTGTGCTCTGCTACAGTAAATTAGAATTTGCAATTAGGCACACTGTTGCACAAAGGAAATGGGGCCCAACGCAGCTGGAAGTTAATAATCCCTTTAGCTGGTGATTCAGCCTGAGGCAGTGTGGGCTGTTGTGCTGCAGCTCTCAGCTGAGGAGGGTGTCCCGTGGGTCCAGCAGCGTGGTGGGCTCCAGACCCAGCACACGGCTGCAGCCAAGCCTGTTTTACAGGGGCCACCTCGGCTCTTGGTCTTCACTTTGCTGCCTGCACAACCTCAGTGGAAGTGCGGGAGACCTCTGGGAAGTTTGTAAGGTGCGTGGGGCGATGTGGAAAAAACCACAGTGAGAATAAAATGCTGCTTGCTTTGAGAGAGCAGAGCCCTGTNCCAAGGGCTGGGCACCAAACTGCCAAGTTTCAGCTAAGATGGGAGAGAAAAGTGGGGCTTGTGCTGTTGTCAACCAAAATTCAGAAGGAGTCAGAAAAGTGTCCTGATTTTAAAGGGTTCTCAGTCCCGCAGGCTTGTTCCTAGGCCTGGAAGTGCCCGTGGCTGTGTGCTGCAGCCTCTGGTGTCAGCAGCATTTGCTGTGACTCAGAGCTTGCTTGGCTGATGCTGAGCTTTGCTGGGCTCCAGTTCTGCTGACTGTTCTTATCTCCCCCTTCTGGTTCTCCCTTGCAGAGCCAGGAACTTGCAGAAACACAGTCCAACCTCCAGGCTCCAGCCTGCCCTTCCTCTTGGCATGGCTTGTCCCCCCCAGGACAGCCTTTGGAGTAGTGAATACCTGGAGACTCTTCAGTACCCAGCACTTTCCTGGTAGGAGCCTGCAGTGACTCCTGCGGGTGACACTGCTGCATATCCAGAGCGAGGGACACCCACGGCACTCCTCTCCAGGGCTGTAGCAGTTCAAGGGATTCAGGATAGGTTCTCAGAAGCATTGAATCACTCAGAAAAACACTTCAGACCCTTCAGAAAACAGCACCACAGAGCTGCCTCACTGTTCCTGGAGTGAGAGATGTTCTCCACTGAGCACGCACCGTGGTGGGATGCTTGGCTGTGCAAAGGCACACGCTGTTGATAAACTCTGGGCACTGATGGTGTCCCTAGGGAAAGGCAGGAGCACTCCAAGGGCTCTGGCATCCCTCAGAGCCTGCTCCTCCCGGGAGGCTGAGCCATGGCCTGGCTGCTGCAGGCCCCACTGCCGGCCCGAGGGCTCTGCTCCTGGCTGCCCTGGCAGCAGGGCTCTGACAGATGGGTGGCATTTCCAGGGCAGCCAAAAGGGGCGAGATATATTTAAACGCAGCAGATTATTAGGTAACAAAGAGTGCCTGGTGCTGTGTACTCAGATCTTGGAGACCCTAAATAGCACTGAGCCACTGGTCAGGGGTGCTGACCCTGTTTCTGTGTCCTCCCAGGACAGGATTTGCTGTTCTGTCCTGTGGCTGCCCATGTTGCTGTCATTGCCTAGGTGGTGTGGCCAGGGTGGGATTCCAGGACCCCTCGTGCTTGGGCTGTGGTTCAGATCCCCTAGGGGTTCTCAGGACTGGTTCGCTCCCATGGTTTGTTCTGTCATCTGTCCCCTTGTTAAAAGTGTGAAGAACGAGTGGAAATTACACATAATTTTGAGATGCACCTTTGGATTCAGCTGTCCTCTTAGCCAAGGGGATGCCCTGAGCCTTGGCTGCTTTCTGTATATGGGCTTGCAGGAGATCCTGTGCTGAGTGTGCCACAGGGGAGGAAGTGAGCCTTGCATGCGTCTGGCATGTGTCACACAGCACGGTGATCACCCCTTCTTCATCTGTATCTGTGACCAAACGTGGGTGAGTCTCCTTCATATGAGAAAACATGGAGCTTAGGGGGGCTTTCTTCAAAGAGCATCTTTGGTTTGTGTGCAGGGCGTGAGTGCAGAGCGAGCAGGAGACACACCTTCACCACCCAGTGGGAGGGTTCCTGCTTTCTGTCCAGGGAGGCGGCTCAGGGCCCTGCAGTCTTTCTGCTGGGGCTGGGAGCATGGCTCCTTTCTGCCTATGGGTAACTCAGACCCAAGAGGACAGTGGCTCTTCAGTGTTAGATCTTGGCTAAAAAAATCCTTGAAATAAACTCTTTAGCTCAAGAGAGCAACACCAAAGGCCTTGCTGGCAGGCTGTCAGCAGCCCGAGGGCTGCACCTGCTTCCAGAGACATTTACATAAAT